ATTGTGTCATTTAAGTATTCTTATTATTTTGATTCATTGATTTTATTATAAGAATTTGTTTGTGCATTATTTTCATGTTTTGATTTATTTAACGTCATTAAAATTTCATTGTTAAAGTTTACTTGTGTTTTGTGTGTCTTCTCCTTACCTTACCACAGACGAAGTTCCAGTTTTTCTATTTTTTTTTATAACTATGTGACGAGGCCATACCCCTAGCCTTAAACAGCCGAACACCAACGCGTTACCGTCACACTATGTATAGGCCAAAGAACTTCCCATCATTTTTATGGGTAATGTTAACATTATCTGTCCTTTTGCCAGTCAGCCCATTGACATTATATCCGTAATTCAATCACTTAACACAAGAGCTGGGAACATTTTTGAAATACAATCTATGATATATATAAAAGTGCTGCCTGAAGTTGAATCTGATTTGATAGTTTACTACAAAATAAGGTTTGGTGCCTTCTTTTGATAATTACTTACTTTCTACCAAATAACTTGTGGATGGTCTTTTCTATGTTTAATGTAAGTTTATTGGTTGACATCCATGAGTGGACTTTTTTAATTCACTGTTGACAATATTATTTAGTGTGTGGGGGTAGGGTAAGAATAGACAATGGTAGTATCGTCTGCAAATAGTATAGGTTTAAGAATGCTAGAAACATTTGGCACGTCATTGATGAACATATATAAGAAATAGGAGAGGTCCCAAGATGCTGCCCTGTGGCAATCTTTTGTTCAAGTGAGTAGAGTAAGGACGGTTATGCTATTGATGACTACATGTACATGTCTGTCACTGAGATAGGAATCTATATAGTCCAGAGCAATATAGTCTACCTCTTAAGAGGTAGAACAGCTTGTTGACAGATCCCAAGGGCCTGGGAGAATTGTGTAAAACTCCAGTTTGTGTCTTGGAGAGACTGTGGGATCCGTGTGTGAGCATTAGCAAACCCGGTTGCAGTTCCTATTACCATGTGGCGCAGTCGATTAATGCGCATCTGGGATCATCCTGGACGTAGGTTCAAACCCTCATCACGGTCGTTGTGGATTTAATCGGTAGTATGTTGAGTTTTACAAAGTACAAATAGAGCTGTTTATAAATAATTTGTTCATATATTTTTTGAAAGTATTGGTAGATTTGATATTGGTCTGTAATATTTTTTGTCAGCTGTCTTGTCTCCTTTATGAACTGGCATCACTCTTGCTTTCATAAGGATATCAGGAAAAGTATGACGGTCTAGAAATTTGATGAATAGCAGAGCTATGGGTAGTGCAAGAGCAGGGGCAGCACTTTTATATATATCATAGATTGTATTTCAAAAATGTTCCCAGCTTTTGTGTTAAGTGATTGAATTATGGATATAATGTCTTTTTGGCTGACTGGCAAAAGGAGTAGAGAGTTAGGACAGCTGCCTGTGAGATTTGTAATAACATGTGTCTGGGTCTCTGGGATTTTTCTGGCAAGGTTTGTACCAATTGATGAAAAGAAGCTATTGAATTCAGTTGCAATATCTGTCTGTTGCAGGTGTGTAACCATCATTGGAGAGTTTTATCTGCTTGTTATGTGATTATTGTTTAGACTCTAGGAGGTTAGAGATGATGTTCCATGTACTTTTCATATTTCACTACACACAGAAATCACAATAGCATGATGCATCAAATGAACAAATCCACAAGGGCCGTGATGAGGCCCTTATCCATGTCGTAGCTCAGTCGATTAAGGCAGTGTCTGGGATGTTCTCAGAAGTAGGTTCGATCCTCGTCACGGCCCTTGTGGATTTTTTCATTTCCATATTTCCTTTTGCTTCTTTAAATCTATTCTCATAAAAGGAAGCTTTGGCTCTTCATATTATATTGGTGAGCATTGATGAGTATCTCTTAACTTCTTTTGTAATTAGGGCAATTCTATGTTTTGTTTCATATTCGTGTTTCTTGTTAATTGCTTTAAGTATGCCACTTGTGAATCAGGTGTTGTTTAATCTTTTGGCAGTTTATATCCATTATGAATTTATATCCTGTGTATTGTTGAGTTCAGATTCCCAGTTTATATTGTGAGGTGCATTTATGAAATTCCCTATCGCTGGTTTCCTAATTATTGGGAATGCTAAATTAATGCAGGTTATGGCGGGTTTCCTAATTATTGGGAATGCTAAATTAATTAAATTACTGTAATTTAATTAAAATTTGTATGCCTCCCAACCAGTTTGAAAGAGAGACTGTAATAACAAAATAAATACATAAATAAGTTTTATTTAGGTAAAAGTACATACAAAATTCAAAATCAAATTTTTATCCAGGAAAAGTACATACATAGATGATGAGTTACAAACATAATGTTGGATTTATACATAGAGCTAGTACGTATAGTACCTAAAGCCACTAATACACATAGCATTTTGGGCAAACATACAAGATTAGTTACAAACAGAATTGTGGATTTTTAGTTTATCTACAGGTAGTACATACTATGCCTAAAGCCACTAATACGCACAGCGTTTCGGGCAAGATGAAGGAAAAACACCTAGACTAAAACCTTAAAACTAATTGAGATCAAAAGCGTGAATTGAAAAATGAAAATCAAGAATGACAAAAATTGTATGATGGATGGAACAGCAGAAATTGAAACAGAACAGCAGAAGTAATTTTAACTAAATAAACAGAAGGCTACAATTTTCTTCAAGTTTATATATGGCAGATATCAGCAGTTAAACTAGTTGGTCAATAATCAATATTGTTAATAAAAAGCAAAACATAGGTTGACATTTAGGGGGTATGGTAGGTTACATGGAGTTTATTAGGTAGCACTTGGTTTTTCTCTTAAGCTGGTTGAGAGAGGTACAGCCTTTGAAATGACTGGGAAGCTCATTCCACATTCTGGATCTCTTGATTTGCAGAGAATTTCTAGTTTGGTTCAGTCGCACTCTTGGAGTATCAAATAGGTACTTATTCACCTAGTTGTTCTTGCGGGGGTTGAGCTCTGCTCTTTCGGCTCGCCTCACAACTGTCAATCAATCAACTGTAACTAACTACTAAATTATTTTTTCCCCCACACACACAAACACCCCCAGGAAGCAACTCTGTAACAGCTGTCTAACTCCAAGGTACCTAATTTACTGCTAGATAACAGGGGCATCAGGGTGAAAGAAACTTTCCCCATTTGTTTCTGCCTGGTCCGGGAATCGAACCCGGGCCACAGAATTACGAGTCCTGCGCGCTGTCTACTCGGCTACCAGACCCCCCTGGATCTTGAAACCACACAAGAAACAAGATTTGTTTTTGATGTGGTGTCCATGGGTTCTGTTACAACCTTCTGGGAAGCGTTTAAGGTCAGGATTGGCATTACAGTTCAGGGTTTTAAATATATAGAGTACACTTGAGAAGATGTGCAGTGACTTATTATCTTACATATTCAAAGATTTAAGTAAGCGGGTCGAATGCAGTCTGGGGGCCAGGGTTTGTTATTATTCCAATAGATTTGTGTTGAGTAATTAGCAGACGTAGATGATTTTGGGTAGTAGAACCCCCAAGCAGATACCATAATTGAGATAAGGATAGATGAGAGTAATAGAGCGTCATCAGGTCAAGGTGAGGTACATAGTATCTGATTTTAGAGAGAATGCCAACTGTTTTAGAAACTTTTTTAGCTATATTTTAAATGTGTCCCTGAAAATTCAGCTTGTTATCAATCAGAACACCAAGGATCGAATTTAATTACCATCTACTGTGTTACTAATTTGGATATTGTTAATTCTTAGATTAATTTGATCTGAGGATTTATTACCAAACAAAATATAGAAGGTCAACGTTAAAGATGAGTTTGTTAGCAGTTAGCCAAAGATGAACTTTATTTAGTTCAATATTCACTGAATCATTCAAAATAAGAGGGTTAGGACTGGAGAAAATGAAGAGTGTGTCATTATCAAATAAAATTGGTTTGAGATGTTGAGAGGTATTTGGAACATCATTAATGTAGATGAGAAAAAATGTGTGTATGTATATGAAAGATAATGTAGACTAAGAAATATTTACTTAATATTATATAATTAATATCATATAATCAATACCATGTAACTAATTTCACTCACATTTTTCCTAATAATAGATTTATGTTACTCTAATCATAATATACTCTAATATAGTTAATCTAATAGTTACTCTAATATATTTTTATTTATTACAATTTATGTCCTTTCTTCATCATGTGTCATCTAATTCTTGCATTTCTTTGATAAAGTGTTTATTCATGTCCTTTGTTTATTCTTGTCTCCTTGAATAAAGGAAATCTCCTTTCCCTTATGATCCTTGTTTATTTTTAGTGTTGCCCTCATTAACCATAACTTATACTATATTTCTGTTAAGTTCCAAGAAAATGTTAAGAGAAAAAGTCCAGTTTCTTTTCTAAATTACACCTTAGTATTTCCAATTGTGTTATTAATGTAAATAAAGTACTGTACTGTTGCTAGAACTACCGACTCATTAATGTAATAGTCTATACCAGTCATTATTAAGTATCACCTTTTTATTATATTCATTTGTGTTTTCTTAACATTATTCATTTTTGTTAGCTTACTTCCCTTTTAGTATTAAGTGCTTACCCCGTCACACCTTTAATTAAATTTTCTTCTAAATTATTGCAAGTTTTGTGGGAAACGCTTTACGTAATAATGGCTTCATGAGTTTTTGTAACTCCTGTCCCCACAATTGTATATTACTCATATGTTCTTGTACACACATTATTTTGAATAAAAATTTAGATATTTAATTTTTTTTATTTATTGATGTTCTGAAAACGATGTTACACCCCCTTCTTCCTACTCACGTTATTCTTGAAAACAAAATTTCCCCGGCTTCTGTTCCTCCTGCTATTTCTACTGCTACTTATCATGCTGATCCTGTTACTGCTGTTCCTCCTGCTATTTCTACTGTTACTTATCATGCTGATCCAGCTACTGCTGTTCCTCCTGCTATTTCTACTGCTACTTATCATGCTGATCCAGCTACTGCTGTTCCTCCTGCTATTTCTACTGTTACTTATCATGCTGATCCAGCTACTGCTGTTCCTCCTGCTATTTCTACTGTTACTTATCATGCTGATCCAGCTACTGCTGTTCCTCCTGCTATTTCTACTGCTATTTCTCATGCTGATCCAGCTACTGCTGTTCCTCCTGCTATTTCTACTGCTACTTCTCATGCTGATCCTGTTACTGCTGTTCCTCCTGCAATTTAAGAACATAAGAACAAAAGTAGCTGCAGAAGGCCTATTGGCCCATACGTGGCAGCTCCTATTTATAACCACCCAATCCCACTCATACATGTCGAACCCACGCTTGAAACAATCGAGGGACCCCACCTCCACTACGTTTCGTGGTAATTGGTTCCACAAATCAACAACCCTGTTACCAACTGCTACTTCTCATGCTGATCCGGCTACTGTTGTTTCTACTATTACACCCTCTGCTGCTGTTTGCTGCACTACACTGAACCTCAATTTCTCATAATTACCTTAGCCTGCTGCACTACACTGGACCTCAACTCTTCATAATTAACTTAGCTTGCTGCACTACACTGGACCTCAACTCCTCATAATTACCTTAGCTTGCTGCACTACACTGGACCTCAACTGCTCATAATTACCTTAGCTTGCTGCACTACACTGGACCTCAACTCCTCATAATTAACTTAGCTTGCTGCACTACACTTTACGTCAACTCCTCATAATTACCTTAGCTTGCTGCACTACACTGGACCTCAATTCAACATTGTTACCTTAGCTTGCAGCACTACACTGGAGCTTAATAAAGTTTAGTTCTTGGACAATTTATCATTCGAGTTTTGGCAAAAACAAAACAAAAATGATCGAACTTAAAATTTACTTTCTCAAAATTACACTTGTATATAATTATAAAAATAATATAATAATGTAAAATTCTAAAAAGGAAAGAGTAGGGTGTGAACCTGCACACTTGGTACTACCAAGCTAGACCACCACACCATGAGGAGGGTGTGACCCTACACACTTGGTACTACCAAGCTAGACCACCACACCATGAGGAGGGTGTGAACCTGCACACTTGGTACTGCCAAGCTAGACCACCACACCATGAGGAGGGTGTGACCCTACACACTTGGTACTACCAAGCTAGACCACCACACCATGAGGAGGGTGTGAACCTGCACACTTGGTACTACCAAGCTAGACCACCACACCATGAGGAGGGTGTGAACCTACACACTTGGTACTACCAAGCTAGACCACCACACCATGAGGAGGGTGTGAACCTGCACACTTGGTACTACCAAGCTAGACCACCACACCATGAGGAGGGTGTGACCATACACACTAGGTACTACCAAGCTAGACCACCACTCCATGAGGAGGGTGATTGATTGATAAAGATTAAGCCACCCAAAAGGGGGCACGGGCATGAATAGCCCGAAAGTGAAGGCTCTTTGGAGCCATTACCAGTCCCAATAGCTGGTACTTGGGATCTGTGGATGGATGGGATCGGCGTGGTCGCTCACAATTTATGGCCCCCAGGAAGCTTAGTTGCCAGGTTGCAGTTTATTGTGACTCATCGCCTGCATATGGATACCACACGTAAACGTCTTACTCTGTTTAATTTCTTTGATACTCTACCTTCCTTTAAACGGCCTTTTCGCGCCTTTGAATCTTCCTTTCTTGCCGCCAATCGTCGAAAGAACCAGCTCAGGTTTCTTAAAGACTGTCTTGCTGAGCAAGTTCTCCCTCTTTCTTTATCTCACTTTCTCCAGTTCAACACTTCGGGTTCTCCTTTTCTTGCCCGCCTTCTTCTTCAAGAACTTATTCATGTCACCTCCTTGCAAGTTGACGAGGTTTTTTTATTTGTTCGTCAACATCAACGTTTTCTGTCCTCTTCTCTTCCCAGTGATCTATGCAATATTATTTTTCCTATTGCATTTGACACTGCTCACGTCTCCTCTTCACACTACACAACAAACTTCAACGCCTGATCTCCAACAGTCCATGGGCCAAATACTCTCTCTCTGTGTTACCAACCTTTCGTCCTACTCTCTTTCTAAGCACCAGCAAGAACTTCTTGGTCTTGGTCTTTCTTTTGCTACTTCCCCTGGCCCACGCTGTGGCATTGATCTCATTAGTTCCTTTGACAGGTTTGTCAATTCTAACTCTAGTACTCTTTCGGACCTGTCTGCCTTTAGAGGGGCCCTTATCCCCGTTCTTGACAGTTTGTTTTTTAAAAATCATCACCTTCCTCGTCGCTTCCAGCTTGCCCTTGCCTCCCTAAAATCTAACAACTCTATTCTTATCCTTCCTTTCGACAAAGGCAATTCGGTGGTTGTCCTTGACCGTGAGGACTATCTCCGAAAAGCAGATGTCTTGCTCTCTGACTCTCGCACTTATGCTCCTCTGACTTCTAACCCTTTGGATCGCCTCAAAACTTCCTTTAACCGCAAACTAAGTCAGCTCTCTAGTCTTTGTCCTCCTGACTTTGATCTCATTAAACATTTCCGTGTCATCTGCCCTTCTCTTCCTTATTTCTATGGTCTTCCTAAGACTCATAAACCTGGTGTTCCTCTTCGTCCTATCATTTCTTCACTGAGCTCTGTCAGCTATCCTCTTGCCTCCTGGCTCGCTAAAACCCTGACGCCTTACCTTGGCACCTTTTCTCCTGCCCAACTTCGTCACTCTCAGGACTTCATAGAAAGTGATGTCAATGAGATAATCCTTTCCCTTAAAACCAAGTCTAGTGCCCTCGAGGAGATACCAACTTTAATTTACAAAAAAAGCCTCCAGATCTTTAGCTCCTTCTATTGCATTGCTCTTCAACAAGTCACTTGAACTCCAAACCTTTCCAGACATTCTAAAAAAAGCAAGAGTAACCCCTGTCCACAAATGTGGTGATCACACAGATGTTAACAACTACAGACCTATATCAATCCTGCCAAACTTGTCAAAAATATTAGAAAAACTAATCTACAAGCAGCTTTACTCTTTTCTAGCCAAACACAATATACTTAGCTCTTGTCAATATGGCTTCAGACCCAAAAAAAGCACTTGCGATGCACTTATTAGTATGATTAACTTGATTCACGCAGCTCTTGATAAAAAGGAGTTCCCTGTTGGGTTATTTGTGGACCTGCGTAAGGCTTTTGACACTGTCAACCACCAAAACCTTATTCTTAAATTACCCCATTATGGAGTCAGAGGACACTCCCTGCAATACCACAAATCTTATCTTACTGACAGGCTCCAGTATGTTTCTGTGAATAATACAATTTCTCCCACCCTACCCATCAACATTGGTGTTCCTCAGGGCAGCATACTTGGCCCTCTCCTCTTTCTCATCTACATTAATGACCTTCCAAATGCCTCCCAACACCTCAAACCAATTCTATTTGCTGACGACACAACCTTCATTTACTCCAGTCCTGACCCCCTTGCTCTAAATGCCACAGTAAATACTGAGCTAGAGAAAGTCCATCTTTGGCTAACTGCCAACAAACTCACCCTTAACATTGACAAAACGTTTTATATTCTGCTTGGCAATAAATCCTCTAATCATATAAATCTCAAAATAAACAATACCCAAATTTGTAACAAATTAGATGGCAAATTCCTTGGCGTTTTCATCGACCACAAGCTGAATTTCCAGGGACACATTCTAAATATATCAAAAAAGTTTCAAAAACTGTTGGCATTCTTTCTAAGATTCTCTTGTGAGATTCTTTCTAAGATTCACATTCTCTTGTGTCAACTACATTTACAAAACCCTGTTCTTAAATGCAAACCATGCTCTGAAACTCTCCCTGGACAGATGTAATAGGACCCATTATCACCACACCAGAAATAAATATCTCTTTGATATCCCCAGGGTCAAACTTAATCTGTGTAAACACTCTATGCAAATTAAGGGACCTAGTCTATGGAACTCACTCCCTAGTGAATTGAAAAACTGTAAAACGTTTGCCTTATTTAAAAGCAAAACCAAAAAGTACCTAACTTCATCTTCTTAGTTTCCAACACTGAGCTTTAAATTTGCTCTGTACCTAGTGTTACCCAATCTCCTAATTTTTATGTAATATCAAACTACCTTATCATTGTGTTCATTGTTGTCTTCTTTTATGTGCTAGCCATATGCTGTATTGTGACTACCAATTTTTGTCAACTACCATTCAAGCTGTCATTGCAATCAATCTTACATTGTTTCTGCTGTATTGTGCCTACCAATTTTTGTCAACTACCATTCAAGCTGTCATTGCAATCAATCTTAGCTACCTATGTGCTTTAATATACTGTACCTACAATTTTCTCTCATCTTCTTTTTTTCATTTCATGTAACTGTTATCATTTTTTTGTCTATAAATTTTGCAAGTATTTACCTCCTTAAAATTTTCTTAGATTAAGGACCTGCCCGAAACGCTGCGCGTGCTAGTGGCTTTACAAGACTGTAATTACCATATTTGTATCCTCACATTCCTTATGTACATTCTTGTATATGCATAAATAAATAAATAAATAAGATCAGATATTATGTACCCCACCCTGCCCTGGTGACTCTTTATTACTCCCTCATCTATCCATATCTCAACTATGGTATTTGTGCTTGGGGTTCTACTACCCAAAATCATTTACGTCCTCTAATTACTCAACACAAAGCTGCTATTAGGACAATATCCAACTCTAGCCCCAGACATCACTCGGTACCCCTACTCAAATCTCTGAATATGTTAGATATTAAGTCATTGCACATTCTCTCATGTGTATTATACATATATAAAACGCTGAACTGTAATGTAATTTTAGAACCTGTACTTGAGGTCGATCTCGAACCCATTGTTGATGTGACGACTTATATTGAATTTTGTAACTAACTCATCAAGATTGTAACTTGCTTAGCTAAATGAATTGTGGGGTTCAGTCCCTGAACCCATTATGTGCCTCTGTAACCCTTTCCACTACCGCCCACAAGATGGGTATGGGGTGCATAATAAATGAACTAAACTAAAACTCTCTTAACAATCTGGCTCCTTTTATCCATTTCAAAGTTGAGTGGGAATCTAATTATCTCCTTCCTTTTCTTGACGTTCACGTTCACAGCTCTGTGTCCGGGTTCTCTTTCTCTGTCTACCGCAAACCCATGTATAGTGGCATGTACATTCACTTCTTTTCCTACCATCCTCCTTCTGTTAAGTAAAGTGTCCTCGTCTCTCTCTTCCTCCGCGCTCTAC